GAGAGTGAGAGTAAGATCAGAGGGGCAAGGGCTGAGAAGAGCTAACGGGGGATAAAGATGCAGACATAGTTTGATAGGAAGAGCCAGCCTTCTGTTGTGGAAAGATATCATTGGTCAATTTCAGAACAAAAAAACATTTACACATATGTATTACATTTAGTGTGGTTATGTATGGATATGAATCACATGTAGAGATAAGCTAGAGGTCACATGCATAGCCGAAAGTGAGTGAACTGTAAATGAAATGTAATCATATTAAAAGATTCCAAAAATGTCCAAAAATGTTATAATCCGCATATAATGATTGAAAACAGTATTCAAAACACAGCCCAATGAAAGACTTGAATAAAAAGAAACACTATAACAAGTCATTGAGAGCAGGTCACATGTTTCAGGTCACATGCATTTCAAAGTTGTGAAAGACTGTTAGGCCTTGTTTAAAATAGATAATGGAGTGGGAATGAAAGAGTTTTTGTAAGTTCTCTTTTTGTACAGAGGTACTCTAGAGCAAGTGCCTGATGAAGGTGAAAGCAGCAGTGAAGAGGGTGTGGAGGGTCCTCAGTGATTAAGTTTTTCTTTACTGAATGACTGAAGCGTTTGGATTTGAGTTGCATAGGAGTTTTTCTTAATATTCTCAATAAAAGCGAGGCCACCTGTTCACATGTATTTCAAATTACGAGACAAATCCCATCCCTGGGTTTCCACTCCAAACCGCTCACGGGTGCACAAATAACTTCAGACACAAGCCTACCCTAGGAGCCCATCCTACACACCACCTGGTGCAAACACGTCTCCAAGAAGACTATTACTTTCCGCTGGTGCTTCAGAAAGCTGTCTTCCTTCTTTTTTTGTTTGCCTTTGTGGGACTCCAGTTTCCATGTTGGCTTGTTTGTGTGGTAACTCTTGATGTACACCTGTTTCTGACTGGCTGTGTTTTGTATAATCATAATGCTAATCTGGGGTCAAGCTATTAATAGATAATAATAATAGAGCTAGCTAATAATAGATTCTGAGCATTTACAAATGAATGAAGACAATAGGAAGAAATATAAAATGGTGTTGAGGTCACGTACCTAAGATGCTGGGGTCAGGGTGCAGCATCATGGGCTGTTTCTTCTTCATCTTCCCTCCCTGGTTGTCATAGAGACCAGACTTGCCCATGTGGTTGGCTTGAAACATGGACTGCAGGGTGCTTGGATTCATTCCTCGCATTGAGTCCTAAGAAAAAGGGAAATACAAATAAATGTGTGCCTCAAAAGCCCAAAGAAGTGATATCTTTTTTTAAATCAACTTTTACAAATGTAAAGCCCTTTCTTGCTATAGCCTTTAGTAACTGCCAGTGCGTTATCGTTTACAAAAAAAATGTTTTCTGACCTGCAGAGGGAAGTTCATGTTCAATCCAGCCACTTCCTTTGATAACTGGGACACATCAAGAGAAAGGAGGAAATTACAACTTCAAAAGCGCACTTTGAGCCAGTTCATTTGATGTTGCCTTTTCATTATATTCTAACACATACGTCATGGTGTTTTAGAAGCCTGGAATTCAAACATTCACAATTATGGAAAAGCTATTTTCTTTTCTCCTTATTAATACTGAGTATAATTAGAACAATTTCCCAGATATTCAAAAAGGTACTGGGTGCCTGGTCCTGTTTTTCTTTACATTTGTAATGTATATGCTTGGGCAGCGAATCACAGTTTGTTAGGTTTTGTAGTATGCTGTTCTCATTTAAAAAAAGACATTTGTAGCTCAGGCCTACCTGCTGCTGCTGTCTCTGTTGGTTGGCTTTCTGTTTGGCACGTCGCTCCAGGAACTGTTTGGCGAACTCTTTGGCTTCCACTGTGTCCCCTAGGTAGGACCGGATGAACTCCAGCACTGCATAGGGAGACTCCATCTCCTTCAGGTAGGCCACAATTGTGGCAACTTAATAAAAGACATAAAGTTGAAATGATTAGAAATTCTAGGAACTTTTTGAGATCAAAATAAATAAAGCCAAAACATCTTTGAACTAAGTTCCGGGGGAAGTTTTATTAACCTTGACCTAGCTACTTTCATAACTCGGCCTACCATCCAGTGGGGAGGAGGAGTTGTTGGCAGAGGTGTTGAGAGCGTGCAGCATCTGTTCACACCAGGTAGTGAAGCCGTCCTGAGGCTTCATGCCCTGCAGCAGCTTCAGCAGCTTGTCCTCGTCCTCAGTCCGCTTCCTACGCATCATGAACTGATCACTGCAGAGGACATACAACCATAACTGAAACATGGACACCTATAACTTTAATATTAGAATGCCATATGCTACTGAAGGTGAACAAAAAATAAAGTGAGTATTTTTGGCTTCCTGTACCTAAGTGAGGGGCTGCTGCGGCTGTTCTTCAGGCCCATGTTGTTGTTGCTGTTGCCACGCAGGCTGGCTTGGTTCTTCACAGCCTCGTCCCACATGCCCATGCTGCCTGAAGAGCTTCCACTGCTGCTCTTGCCCTCCATCCCTCCAGGCCCGCCCCACATGCCAACACCATCCGCCCACTGCCCGCCCATGGAGGAGCTCCCCATCGACATGCCAGAGAGCTGGACACAGACAGAGAAATCATTTAGAAATATCTTCTATCGGCATTCTCTCTCCGACGGTCTGTATGAAACAGTTCATTTAAAACTCACGCGCTCTCTCTGCTGCTGGGCTCTCTGCTGCTGCTGCTGCTTCAGGAGCCTCTCTGCCTCCTGCTGCATCTCCAGCAGAGCCAGAGCAGGGGGCTTTCCTGCCTTGGAGAGCCCTGAGGAGGGGGCCCCGCTCCAGCCTGAGCTGCCTGCCTGGGGGGAATGCTGCAGCAACTTCATGATCAGCTCCTGCTGCTGACGACACTGCAGGGAGAGAGAACAGGTTTGAAATGAACAACATTATAAGCTGAAAAGCCATTCTCATTGCATCATCAGTGGTGTACTATTTGGATGTCTGACTTGTGAAATCAAATGTCAACTTTAATGAGCCTAGCTTGCATCATGAAAATAATGAAAATACAGCAAATCAGATCCTGCAACTCACCTGCTTGCTGCGTCTGAAGAGATCCTCTTCCTCCCTCCTCTTCTGCTCCTCCTGAAGCCTCCGCTTCTCCTCTCTCCTCTTACGCTGCTCCTCCTCTTCACGCTTCGCCCTGAGTTCAGCGTCTCTCCTCTCCTGCTGGAGCTGAAGGGAACACATAAGGAGTCAAACGATGTCAAAAGCATTAACAGGGTATATGCAGGAATCCTGAAGTTACTTTTAAGACCTTTTTTAAGACCCTTTCCGTACATTTTAAGACCTTATCGCCACTTTGAGTTTTAACCGTTTACATTGGCGACACACTTTAGCTCACATTTACTATATACAGTATTGATTGTCCTTCCTCCTTATCTTCCAACCATTTGGACGCAAACTTGCGTTTCCCCATAACGATGTTGTTTAACAACCGGCGTAAACGGGCCTTCGTGCGCTATCAAGCAGTGAGCGTGCGATGTCCTGTTCAGATGACGTCAAATCCAACGGGATGCCATAAACAAACTACACAGAATCACACTACACACCTACGCAATGATTACATTCAGGCAGACTGTAGAATACAACCTCTTTGGACAATTTATATACTTATTGAAAACAAGCTACAAAATGTAATACCTTGGAAAATGCACTTTTTAATACTTTTTAATAGCCTTAATTTTCACTAATTTGATTGATCAACTTTTAATACTTTAAGGACCCCGCGGACACCCTGTGTATCCATTTCAATGTTAGTTTCAACACTGCATTTTAAGCCTGGAACATTCGTTTAGGGAAAAAAGTACATCGCAGTCAGGTCACATCAGAATAATTACACAGCAGCAGCCAGTGTTGAAAGGGGGAGAGATTATGATTATATGGGAGAAACTGATGACTTCATTCAGTGGATTCAGAGGTTGATGACACAGATTATACTGCACTGTAGATCACTGATTAAGCGATTCACTGTGCATGTGTGGATGTCTGCACATATGATAATCCTCAATCTGACACGTGTGAGTCTCAGAATGGTGTCCGGCACTGTGTCTATTATTTATACCCACAATTCTGTTGGGAAAAAGTAATTGAGTGTGTCTTAACATAAACATGAATATGATCGTGTGAGTAACACAGAACATTGAGTGGAAGTGTTTTCTTGCCCTATTTACTGTGACATACAAGTTCATTGAAAATGCATGAATCTTTTTAAGTTGTAACTCAGCTAAAGTAGTTCTGCAACATATTCCGTCGGGAAATGTTGTTACACAAAATAAATATTTAAGAATAACAATCTTCTTTTACAGCTAAATATGTTTGGTTTTATGTTTGGCACATACTTTAAACATGACAGATTTTCAAAAATGATGTGGCCTGAACCATGTCATGAAATGAAAGCTGTAATGCAGAATAACTTTAGAGTAATATATTTGTTTGACTAAAAAGGCAGATAAATGAACCCGACATTTCAAAGTTAAAGATGATCTCTGCAATTTTTCATCACCATTAGCGCTATTGATCAATGTTTAATGAGTAGATCCCTGTTGTTCTGAGCATAAGGATGCATATGCAAGTGGGTAATGTGATACTACTACGATATCTATCCAACAGTTTATTTCATTCTATTTATAAAAAAAGGATGCACTATTAAATACTGCATGTACAAAAAGCAGGTATAAAGCATTTTGTATCTGTGTTTACGGCAAAGCTCCAAGACTTCCAAATTGTAAAATGTTTTCAATACTGTGGTAAAAAACGGTTCAAGGTTGCCTTATCTAAGGCATTCACCCAACACCTCTGTTGTGGCCTTGAACTTCCTCTAAATTAAATAAATCTGAAATAGTAAAAACATTGTATTCTGCTGCTCAAATTGCTGTCTTTCTTATAAATCAGAGAGTATTCAACAGAGGGGATGTAGCTCAGTGGTAGAGCGCATGCTTCGCATGTATGAGGTCCTGGGTTCAATCCCCAGCATCTCCACTTCTTGTTTACAGGGCAAAACACTTAAAATCATCTGCTTTGGGGTACACTATTGGGACGTGCACAGACATTTGGAGGGGCTATTGCTCTTAACTGGAAAAAGGGCCTCCCCCGAAAAAAAACAATACATTTTGAAAATTGTAACTTTTTTTTAATGTAAAAGAAACCAAACGATTATTACTTCAACTAAATTGAACAGTAATTCACATCTCATAACAAAATAAGCTAAGGCGACTACATTCGGTGACTTGATTTAAAAAACGAAAACCAGGGAAATGTTTTGTTTTGCGGTCCATATCTCATCAAAAATATCTAATGTTAGTAACTATTAAAGACAAAATGTGGACAATTCTGTTCTAATGTAGTTTGACCAGACCATTGTAACTGCTGTGCAGTCCAGACATGCTTCTGGCTTCTACCTAATTACCTTAAATAAACTCACTAATTAATGAAACCAGTTCAATAGTATTCTTATTCTTATCATTCTTTATGAGCGCAGCCAGTAACGGTAAGGTATCTAATTACTTATTTATTTAGTATTCCATAACTTAGCAACAGAGATGGTCAAACTAAAGTGGTAGAGACATGGCAGAAATCCTACAATGAAGCGGGACAGTGAACTGTTCACCCGTGAGAGGGCTATCAAGAAAAGAGCGAGCGGCCCCGTTGAGGGAGTTTACAGATGAAAAGACACAGAAAGACAGAAGCACAATAACAACAAGTAGGCTATATTTAGGTGTTTTTTTGTAAATAACCGACGGTATCAAGAGGAAGTAAAGTCCCCTGGTTTGTCCCTTATACCCTAACTGCCATGAGACAACTCAAAATCAAGTTTCCAAAATCCGACACTGAGGTGGTCTTAACGCACCGGCAGNCTCAGGTAGCTATTGCTGCTGCGCTGCGTCACATCAGTAATCCTCCACCATCTCCAACTCATTCAGGCTCAGACACTCGCTCGCGTTGTGGAATGAGTAGTACTCATTCCACAACGCGAGCGAGTGTCTGAGCCTGAATGAGTTGGAGATGGTGGAGGATTACTGATGTGACGCAGCGCAGCAGCAATAGCTACCTGAGGCCTTCTGTCTTTTAA